AGTGTTGTTTTTGACAGCCATCTTAGATTTAGTCTTAGTCTTATTCATCAGGACAAAAACTATTACTAGTCTTAGTCACATTTCAGTCATTACAATATGTGATAGTTTTGGTCAGTTTAAGTCAACTAAAACTTAAAAAGTCTGCCATGCATTTCATCATTGCTGTTGGGCAGAAAACTTTGATTTATAGAATTCAAATAAACTTTTTAATGAATTAATGAGAGAGAGAGAACAGAGAGAATCTACTTAATTACCTTGCAATGCAATGGCAATCGAGACCTAAATTGAATCAAAATGCTTGCTAAAGTGTTGACATATTCAAAGGAAACATGTTTTAATGACAATAAAAGCAGACATTTACATCATATTTAAATAGATAGAAATGAGGACTGTGAGAAATTAATATTGAAAGAACTATGTACCTTTTTCACCTGGCTCTTTATCTAAAAATAAACATGCCATGAAATATTTTCTTTGGATACAATTTAGGTATTCGTTTTGGTAGAAATTAAAGAATGTTTACCATCACCTCTTATGAATTTGAAGAAATAAAATCTTCATAGTTAAACAAATGGATTTTTTACACTTGGCAGAAGGATGTTTAACCGCATAGTTTATTAAGTAGCGACAGCAGGAAGAGCCATACTGCCAAGAGCAAACCATCAGTGTGGGATGTAATGCGCAGAATCTGAGCTAAGCTGTGCAAAGACAAATTTCTGCTCAAGCACAGCTGAAAGAAGATAGTTTGTGAGTTGAGCACTCAGTACCACTCCTTTCTGGCTTATTTTCTCCTCTGCCACTGCTGGCATGATCTATCTGTGCTCATGCAAAATGTGCACCACTCCACGCCAGGTGCGGGCGTGACCAAACAAGACACAGCAGCGAGGCTGATACTGCTTAGCAGATTACAGCAAGAAATGAACCAATGGGTCAATATTTATAGCTACAACTAATACGTTCGCAGTGATTTAATAAATTTAGTGTTAATTGGTATAAAAAAAACAACAACAATATTTTATATCGCGATCACTGAGTCTGATCTCTGGCCATTTTTTTCCAAATATAGTAATACCCCAGTCCTTACATCTTTTTGACAGTGACGTCACAGTGTGGTAAGCCTAGCGCACTTAGACATAGACATCATTTTGTGTGACCTTTTTAACCTGTTTCAGGGAGTCTAGTGTTTCTGTTTGTTAGTTATGACATTGAGGATCTTTTTAGAAGGATTTCTGTCCAGTTTTGTTTGCAGGTTCACTTTTCCTTTCTAGTCCAGTTGGGGTTGTTTTCCGAAGTTCTGGCTCTAAAGGGACTCTGGGTCATGCACTTAGCTATGTTAGGGTTAGGTTAAGAGAGGCGTTGCTTGTCACAGATCTTTGCTCTAGAGAAAATGCTCAACTACCAACTTATAGTAAAAATTTAACACACACGCCCTACTAGCTGTGTGTTAGCACAACAAATGAAACTGTGATTTGAGCTCAAATCATGGTCAATCATATAATTCTGCAAGTACATGGAAAAAATTCACCACAACTTACTTTCATAATATAAGAGTTTATTAAAATATCATCATGCAGTTTCAAGTCAACCATATTTCAGTTAAAAACTCTTGACCAAAATCTAGTGAAACTCAACTAAACTAAGCTACTATGTACAAAGAGTTAGGGGAACATGGTTGAAAACCATATCACAGTTTAGGATGGATTTTGTGTTCGAAAACCAAAGTTTATGTGTAAGAATTTGGGATGTGATCAAAATAGCTTTTCACTGATTTAAAGCAATTTGAATGTTTTCAAACCATTATACAATGCAAATCCATGAGGCAAATAAAACATTATTTGGCCAAAATAATTAGCCTAAATACATAAGTTAAATATCCCCTTTTTCATAATACATATTATTTCTTACAGACATTCTGAATTACATGTGATATTCAAATGCTTTATTTTTGAAATACTTTAAATAATTCTTAGCTGTAGTCTCCTGATGAAAATGTAGATGGATTCATTTTTACTCTTCCTGTTTGATCTCCTTGATCAACGATGGACAAGAAGTTGAGTACATGGAGCAGGTGAACCACCTTGTGGCATTGTGTGTAAACATACATCTGATCCTGAATGTCAACAAACCAAATAAGATGGAGGTAGATTTCTGAAGAACCAGCAAGTTGAATTCTATTTACATCATATGAGAAGAAGGAAAGGTGGTGAAGGTGTAGAAATACCTTGTTGTTCACTGAAAACACAACTATGAACTACAAGAAGAGAGAACGCAGACTGCTGTCCTTGCAGCAAAATGTAGCAAAAATCTCTTCTGTCATCATCTGCTGAGGTAACAGCATCAGAGCAAAGGACTAAAAAAGCTCAACAAGCTGATAAAGAAGGCTGGCTCTGTTCGAGGAACTCCTGTAGAATCTCTGGAGATTATTTTAAAAAGAAGAATTCTTCATAAAATTTTTGTAGATATGTTACCCTTTTGCATATGAAGACAAAGCAGTCAATAGAAGTAACATGGTTTTCAGGGTACATACAGTATGCTGATTTATTGACAAGTTAGCTTTTCTGTCAAGGTCACCCTAGAATGCCCAGTTGGATGGGAACTAAGGCACAGCTATACAGTTTTCCCAAAGTGTTTCTGTCCAAACCAAAGCATGGTGCTTTAAATAAAGCACATTAATTATATTATTGTGTGACAAGGCCCCACTCATTTAAACTTTTAAAATATTGGCATTTTTATTTCGATATTTACATCTCCATGTAAATGCATATTAGGGATGCTGGACAGTGGGCCAAACAGCTTTGCAAAATTTGTTGGCTGAAGCCATATTTTTGAAAGTAATCAAAAGGAGTTAAGGGGGAAATGGGGGAGCACAATTTGATCTGAATGTTGCGTTTCTAAATTTCAGCCAGCTCCTTTTTGTATTGTCTTTCATTACTGGACAATTTATTGATGCATGCGTGTCTGGCTGGTTCCAGAGGTCAGACACACCTGGATTAGTCACTTCCTCCAAGAAATATAAGGCAGTAAACAAAGGAGCTAACTGAAGTTCAGGAAGTACCAGAGCTGTGTGTGGAGCTTATTTTGCATAAGAAAATAGGTTGTGCAGTTGTAAGGTGAAAAGGTGTTCAACATGTTCAAGAAAGCACAAACTTTGAAATCTCCTTGAAATTAATACAATTGTGTGTGTAGCTGTATGTGCGTGAATAGCCTTAGCCTGGAAACCTATGCTTTAAATCACAACCATTAATCACCAAAACTACTTATAATAACTCTACTTAGAAAAACTATCTAAAAATATAAACTGAAGGCCCCCAATCCATTCTAAAACATCTTTAGACAAACCCTTGTTGATCTCTTCAAGAACCACCGTACCAGATTAGTGCCTTACAACTTGTTTTCAACCATTCTGTTACATCTTATCCGAATCTCTTTTACTCGTGCCAGCTGCAACCCAGTGGTTGTGTATTATCTCTTGATGATTGGCCTGGTTTAGATTTTGGGTGCTCATCTTTTAAAAAAAAAAAATATATCAAAGCCCTATTTTTTTTCTTACCTGGTTTCAAACCAAACGTTTACCACAATGATCAGCACAATCCAGATCAAATGAACCAACTAACACACCAGGACACAGTGCTGCTCATCATCAGTTGCGACTGGTTGAGACAACAGACTTCTGCTTCTTCCGTTTTAAAAGTGGTACGCTGTGTTCCTCATCTTTATGTTAAAAGCAGCTCAACAAGTTACTGTAATCTCTGTTTTTGCACACAACATCCTCTGTCACACAACATGTCATAACAGTCTACAGGCAACATTCATAAAACTGCAAAATAATGGATATTTGCAGGGGTAGCTTTTGCCGGGGACATCCATCCATCCATGTTCTGACACACTTAATCCCAAGTGGGGTTGCGAAGGGTCCTGGTGCCTTTCTCTGGCTCTCTATGAGCGAGAGGCGTGGTACACCCTGGACAGGTCGCCAGTCGATGGCAGGGCAACACAGACAGGAACAAACAACCATTTAGCCACACACTCACACCTAAGGAGAATGTAGAGAAGCCAATTAACTAACAGTCATGTTTTTGGACTGTGGGAGGAAGCCGGAGTACCTGGAGGGAACCCATGCATGCTCAGGGAGAAAACGCAAACTCCATGCAGACAGGCCCCAGCCAGGAATCCAACTGACGACCTTCTTGCTGCAAGGCAGCAGTGTTACCCACTGCTCCACTGAGCAGCCCTCACCGGGCTATATATTGAACAATATATAAACAAAGAACATAACTTTATTTTAATCAGATTTGACTTCTACATTATGTAGTTTTTAATTATTAACTATTTTTAATCAAGAAAAATGACATTTTCTGTTTTACGGGTATTAAAAAAAATGTAATGTACCAATATATGCAAATAAAACAAACTGTATGTATTTTAAAATTGACTAGTAGAGAACTTTATTAGCTTTTAATTTGTATTATTGCCAACTTTGCAAGAAGTTTTAGCAAAATTCTCTACCCTAACCCCTGACAATATGACGGTTTTTCTTTATCTAAACAGTTATAACTTGAGGGTCTTTGGTGCATGCATAAGCATTATCTGAGAACAAAATTTTTGTGATTTTTCTGTTTGTCAGGTTTGAAAAAATAGGAAATCTTCCAGTCTGCTATGATAATCAATAATTGGTATTTTTTGAAGAGGTCTACTGTCCACATATCTTTTTCCCTTGACTTTCAACACAGTATGAGACTTTTTTGTTTTTTCTATTGAAGAGCAGAGTTAATCTTTGGACAGGCCACCGTTCACTAAGAAAAAACAAATTTACATTCATCATTTGCATTGTATTCGTAAAGTTTAAAATGTACTTTTTTGTAAAAATAATTGTAATTAATTATTGCATAACAGTTACTTAAGCAAGGGGAGGAGAGACATGTTCATCATTACATAAGCCTTTTGTTAAGCTGGCATAACTCAGCAGCCTCACATTTGTTGATTTATTTTTTTCTTTTGCTATGGAGGCACTGAGGGAGGCTGATTTGTGTTTTCCACAACTACTTAACGTCTCCTGTTTAAAGCCAGTGCAGCACCATGCCGAAAACCTTTCCATTTACATTGTGTTGTCCTGCATTTCTTTCATTACTGTAACACTAAACCTGATTGTCATTATCTCCATCTCCCACTTCAGGTAATAATGATAAACATTTACATTATAATAAGATTTTTTTGATGAGCGAAATAAACAGGTTTGATCTTTATTTAGTCTTGATGATACCTTTTGTAATCCTTTACCAGTGTAGTCAGTTAAGAAAAGCATGAGTGTTTTCTGAAATCAACACTTTCCAAGACTTTCTGTTGTCAATTTCAATTCATATTCAGTATTTTTCAAGGTATGTTTTAAATATTTTGCAGTTGTATTCAGTATCTGTTCTTTCTTTAGGCAGCTTCAAACCCCCACCAACCTGTTCCTTCTCTCTCTGGCTGTCTCAGACTTTCTTGTTGGACTGCTGCTCATGCCAATTCAAATTTTACTGACTGGAGGCTGCTGGGTTCTGGGAAGCTTTATGTGTGGATTATTTCAGTTTTCGTCTTTTATGATTACATCTGCCTCAGTAGGAACTATGGTGCTGATATCTGCTGATCGATATGTGGCCATCTGTGATCCTTTGCATTACCCCACTATAGTCACTCCGAAAAGAGTTAAAATCTGTGTTTGTCTATGTTGGGCATGTGCTGTGATTTATAATGGCATGATAATGAAAGACTTTCTTAAAAATCCAGATATATATAATTCCTGCTATGGAGAGTGTGTTTTGTTGATTGACTCTTTAGCAGGTTATTTTGATATCATTTTGACCTTTCTCGGCCCAGTAACAGTCATCATTGTTCTTTACTTGAGAGTTTTTGTGGTTGCGGTGTCTCAGGCTCGGGCAATGAGGTCTCATATTGCTGCTGTTTCTGTACAGGGTTCACTTAGAATAACTGCTAAGAAGTCTGAAAGAAAAGCAGCTACAGCTCTTGGTGTGGTTGTTGTTTTATTTGTAGTTTGTTTTTGTCCTTATTTTTACCCCTATTTTGCAGGAGAGGAGTTGCTTTCTAATGACAAAATATTATTAATTGCCATATGGATATTTCTTTTTAATTCCTGTGTAAATCCAATAATTTATGCATTTTTCTACCCATGGTTTAGGAAATCTGCTCAACTGATTGTTACACTTCACATACTACAGCCTCAATCCTGTGACGCGAACATACTCTAAAAAATTTTAGATGAGGTTAAGGATAGCACAAAAACTCTAAGCCTTGTTAATCACTTTCTCTTCTTAAACCCAAAGATCATTGCCAATATTTTGAAGACAACAGCCTCCATCAGTTATATAACATGACAGTGTTTCTCACTCTTTGTCAGAGTCTTTGATTCCTGTCTAGAATGAACAACACATTGTAATTGGTAAGTTGGAAATAAACCATCATTTGTTGACCATTTAATAGTATAAAAATAGAAGACAGGGTTTTTTATAGAACACAGAAAATACCTTCCAAATGGTTTTGATTATTTTTCGGTTGAAATGTTATTCTTTAGCTGATTTTTTCTTCTTATTTATAAAGAAGGGGATTATTTTTTGACACATACGTTTAAAGCTTTAGATTAAGTTTTTTTTGTAAAAGAATACCATAAACTATCTTAGGATTCAAACGATTGTCTTAGCATGGTATTTATTTGCCCAGAAATTATAAATAATTTAAAAGGACAGACTTGCTCATAGGTGGCTGTGTCAGGATCCCAGTTTTTGTGTTCGTCTGTTTGTCTTGTCTTTTGTGTTTCTCCTTTCCACCACCAGGAGGTGCCTGGCCCCGGTTTGCCTCCTCACACACCTGCAAGCTGTTGCCTCATCACTGGACTGCTCTTAAGCTGCTGACTGCCACTACTTCGACGCCAGAGTGTTTGCTAGTTTGGGGTACTCTAGCCAAGCCTTGTTTATTCTGAGTCTAATCTGAGTTTTTGCATTTGAGTTTTAGTTCTCTAGCCAAGCTGAGATCACATTGAGTTTTACTGAGAGCTTGTTTCTCCCTGAGACTCATCTTTGTTTGTCTTTTGCCTTTCAGCAGGAAGCCTCCTGCAAACTGGACCTTTCCGGACCGCCTCTCACAAGTGGGATCAACTGAGTCTTGCACTGAGCGGTGGGGGTTTGGATCCAGCCACCTTTGAGAACGCTGAGATCACTCTCTGAGTAAGGAAATTATCTT